GAGCTTGTGGACTTTGTCACAGTATATTTAGCAAAGCCCAGGGTAACACAAGCTTTGTTAAAACAAGTAGCCATATAGAAAATGGGTTGTATAAGTGTTCTGAGGTTGGGAAATATTAGCCTGCAATGTGAGACAGAAGTTTTCATGGGAACAAGATGTTACAAATTATCCAAATGTGAGAAAAGCTTCAGGTAAAACAGTTTTTAAAATCCAGGAAACATCTTTAGTGGAAGCTGTGTTCTTCTTAGGTGTAGTGTTTGCAGAGCTGCTTCTGATAGGAATTCTGAAACAAATTGCTGTATTAGTCCCCACAGTAGGCCCTGAAAGGGCTCTGGAATGACTTATTTAAATTTTCAAACTTTTGGTGATATTTCTTTCAAGACTCTGCTTTGCCTTCTGCCTGAAGCAATAAATTTCAGTGACCGTGCTACAATTTAAAGGCTTCAAGTTGTCATGCTGCCCTTTGCTGTTTTGAGATTCCAGGAGGTCTAACTGAAAATGTTATTCTTGAAAGCCATCCAGCTGGTTGGGTAACCCACTGCAATGTCTAGGTAATAGATGCTTTTCTTCCCTGGTGAGTAATTTGAGGTGTGGAGTGACTCTTCTCTGATATGCTACCAGCTAGTGAAACGTAGAGCGTGATGCTCTGTAGCTGAGTGCCCTGGTCTTGGAGCAAGCAAATTCCTGCAGCATTAGTGTCCTTGCAAAATGTCCCAGAGATTGGAGTTTTCCACGTGAGTGTGACAATGATTAATGTGAGTGATGACGAACAAAGGTTTAAAAAAATGCAGTTTTGCAGATAGACTTGGAGTAACTGGTAAAAAATGGGTGCTCTTTCTCACCAGGAGGCAGGAAAGGGCTCAGCACGTATCACAGTTGCCAGAACTGTGTGGATTACCTAAAAATAGCAGTGCCAAAGAGCCTAATTGTGCCTGGCTAGATACAAATAATGTAATAAACTTGCAGCCATATCAAAGCTTCTTGAAATCCTAGCTTGTTCTTGCTCTGTGCCTTAGGTTAGACATTCACAGCCAAGCTCTTGGCACAGAAAGGTTAAAACCAGTGCTTTAAAAGCATCTTCCTCATTCTGGAACACATTTGCATCCATCTCAAATAGTCTTGTTTTTAAGCACCTTCTGAAAGTTGGACCTTTTTGGCCCTCATTGAACATCTAGAGTTTCTACTGGGTATTAAATCTTTCTCTTAACTTGTGTGAAGTCTCTGCTGTTCCTCAGCTGCTGGTGCACGCTAACCTTGTGAAAATAGGTGATGCTTTTGTAGGGCTAAGAAGCTCCAACCTGGCTGTACCTCATGATCATCAGGTTGCAACTGCATGAATTGTTGAGGGCTGACGTATTCTTAGTCACAAATAGTGTTAGTATCTCAGAGGGAAGTTTGCCTTTTTTTTTGAGGGCTTTGAAGAAGGCATTGAGCCCTCATTGCCTTGCCCTGCAGCATTTGATTTAAACTTGGAGCTTTTTTTCAATAATATGTGGGAGACTATGGGCTGATCTGTCCTGGCTTTTAGTTGCTCTTCTAATTTATGAGGTTTCTGCCTCTGTGGGAGGCCTTCCCCTCAATCCCCCCCCTCTTTAGCTGCTTGTGTGGCTGTGTTCATATCAAATAACTTCACGGATCTTGTACAGAAAAGGCACAAAAGC